AAGTTATTAAACACATCTATTAGATAGAGATCCTCGTACCCTTATCAATAATACTTTATTTCCCTCTCCAAACGACGTGAGATCTCACAAATTTGCTTATAATTTCCCCCTATGATAGATACCTAGTGACATTATGAAACAAAAATAAGAACAAAAAAAGGTACTAAATTAAGAGTATAACATACCCTTTTCAAAAAAAGAGAACTATACAATATAATCCTTAAGATTACATGGAATACATTAGATTAATACATAAATGGCTCTCTTTTTGGAGTTTTGGTTAATGGAATTGCAATTCCAAAAGCTGAAGTTCTTCATTCCAAACAGAGACACCTATTTGGTTTCAACTTTATTTCACCTTTTAGGACACTCCCTTCTTTTCCCAATATCAATAACACAGCTCATTGGACCCACCATCCTTTTTCAAAAGCTTCTTTAGCTCCCATTTTTGTTACTTGAATCACCACCTAAACAGTTCATATAAACAATTTGGTAAAGATATCACCTTTCATCTTCTTCCTTGATTCAGAGGATTCTTCATACAGCCTTGCTCAGATGCCTCCTCTACCTCCTCTACCTCCTCTACCTCCTCTTCCCCCGCCACCATCTTTTATATCTCCATCGACAAGGTCGCCGCTGTCCAGAGCCGCCGCTCTACCAACAACTATACTGTCCCCTGCCTCTGCTGCAGTCTCTCAAGCATCTGCTCCGAACCCTGCAGCTTCATCTTCAAGAGAGGCAGAGCTGGCTTCTTTGAAGCAAATAGTTGTGCAAAATCGAGCTATGAAACCGCATAGTCCACTGCTGAATTCAAATCATATTGATTCTAGTAAGTATAGTAAGCCACAGTTATTACAGCAAGCTCGGCCACGCCAAACGAATCCGATTATATGGTGTTTTGCATTCCTGTGTCTACTTTTTAGTCTTCTTCTCATCTTCCTTGGAATTGCCACTTTGATCATTTTCCTGGTTGTTAGACCAAGAAATCCTGTGTTTGACATACCAAATGCAAGCCTCAGCACCATCTACTTTGATGCACCTGAATATCTCAACGGGGACTTCACTCTTCTCGCAAACTTCACCAACCCGAACCAAAGAGTCGATGTGAGATATGAGAATGCAGACATAGAGCTCTTCTTTGGGGATCGACTCATAGCAACTCAAGCAATCCAGCCCTTCAGTCAAAGAAAAAAAGAAGTGAGGTTACAACCTGTTCATTTGATATCCAGTCTAGTTTTCTTGCCACAGAATTTCGGGTTGGAAATTCGACGACAGGTTCAGAACAACAAGATTGTCTATAACATTAGAGGAACTTTCAGGGTCAAAGCTTCACTGGGTTTTGTCCATTACTCTTACTGGTTGCATAGCCGATGCGAGTTGGTGATGACTAGTCCGCCAACTGGCACTCTAGTTGCTCGGAGTTGCAGAACCAAGAGGTGAAGAAGCAGAAATATATATGTTGCACACCTTCTATGATATCTCTATATGCATTGTCCAAATCACAGTTATGGATATAAGTCTGAAAAGATCTGAAATATCAGTTGAACACCATTCATCTTGTTTGACATGGTTTACACCATTTTTAGGGTTGTGTGTGAGCTTTTTAGGTGATTCTTCTTTAACAACTAGCGCATAAGAGCCTTGGATCAACCAACATATAGACTACAGAAGCACAACTGATGAAGAAAAATCTTCAGTTTAACAACTCTGCCTGCTCTTGCTGTAATTTGGCAATATCAATTTGACATTTTAGTTCTTGATGAGTAACAACAACCTCATTATTTTTCCCTGCTATTCTTTCCTGATCTAATGCACTTGTGAACTAATGCACTTGTGAGATCCCACTCCACTCCCTAGCAGACGCGTTTTAAAAAACTTGAGGGGAAGCCCGAAAGGGAAAGTCCAAAGAGGACAATATCTGCTAACGGTAGGCTTAGACAGTTACATGGACAGTTACAGCACTCATCATCAATGGCTAAGGGGAAATGTGCGTGACTTGTGAGTATTAACCAAATACCCCTCGAGGATTTTCTACCAATAATTTTTTTTTTCAAACTAACATTTTTGTATGTTTTCCTTTATATAACTAATGATTTCTAGGCCAGCTTAATGCTACAGAACACTGTCCAATCTACCACATTTGCTGCTGGGAGTTTTATAAAGATATTATATAACCTATGGCTACCATTGAATCCAAACCTTACAAGGATCTAGATTTACCGCTTGTTATTTGTTACCTTGACTGATAATCCAACTCCACTATACCATTTATTATCAATTAATCCAATCAAAGATTGCATCATTAAGCAAGTCCACTAATGAATGTTTCAAAAAGAAAACCATGCATGAAATACAAAGTTTAGATAATTCTTTACTGGAAGGGTTTGAAATTAGAGCGAATATAACATCCTGATCATTCTACCTTCAAACTGTGAGTGCATCAATACCAAAGGGGAAGATCAACTATAGTTGATTTAAAAACAAGCTGACCATCTTGAGTATCTCTGGAAGTTATTGACTTGTTCATGGAAATCAAGTACCTCATTCGGGAATAACCAGCAAAATACATACTCCTAGTGATTGAGCCTTGGTGGGAAAAATCGACTCCCTCACCCTCGAAAACAGCTGCTGGATGTAGAGTCATGAAAAGATAGCTCAATCTTAAAATCAAAGACATTTTCCACGATAAAGAAAGGGAAGGAAAACTAAGAAACATCATCCCAACTCTAGGCTTGTAGAGAACTTGAAACATAAAAAGAAAATACCATGCCCTAAAACCTAGTAAAATCTAAACCGAAGGCGATTCACATGACAAGAAAATAAAGAGAACGCTGAGAATTCCTATTGAAACATCAACTGATCTTCTTGATGAATTCTTTTTAAACAAGGCACAATATGAAGCCTGAAGTGGCTGAGAAAGCAAAGATTGGAAGATAATTCCTGAAGTTGAGATTTCAAATTGTGTTTTCATGTCTGATTCTAGTTGTTTGATGGGATAATAATTCATTCTGACATTGTTCAGAATGGAAATGAATGAAATCAGATTTTTTTCCTCCATTTTTATACTTCTTATCCATAAATTTAATCAAAATCAGTCCCCTGTCCCCAACCAGTTCAACTACACAGAGAAGAAACCCCAAATTCAATGGCTAGAAGGTCCCTGAGCTTTAGATTTTGCCATAATTCGGTAAAAGAATGTACAAGATACTAACCCAAGTTCCAATGAAGAACAAGTACATACGAGCTTGGAGGCAGTAAGAACAAAAGCCAACTTAGATCTCAGGACATTTTAGCAGAATTTGTTAATCAAAACCCACACGATAGAGAAATACATTATATCTGTTCTCTACCTATGAAATGAATCAATCACAAATTCCATTGGAAAATGATGAGTTCTGTTCTCTTTCTGTTTTCTACCTAAGAAAAGATTGTTTACAGATCCATTGACACCATATCTTGAACATCTAAGCCTAACATTGTGAAGATTATAACATAAATACTCCTCAGAAATCACAGAAAAATTGAAGGAAAAACTCTTTCAAGTGGAGTTATGATGACGAACCTTTCTCCATTGGCTTCAGAGTTCATCAGGTATCTTTGCTGAAATGGCTAAGGCGTCCAGTCCACTCTGCAACTCTTCTTGCAACAGATTATAAACGAGCCTATGCCTTCTAACTCCATTGACACAGCCTTCAAATTAAAGTGAGTTTCTCCTTAATTCTCTTCCCTCTACTTCCTCATACATCAGAACTGCGACTTCGAATCTTCAACGGATTTCTCAGTATTAGATTCTGATTTTGCTTTCTCGACAGAATCAACTGTTTGTGACGATGAAACCGCACTGCCATTGCCTTTTTCGGATTCCACAAGCAACCGAAGCGCCTTCTTCTACATCAACTTCAACAGATTCAAAAAACCATTATTTCTAGAAGGCGTGAGGCTCTGTTGAAGGCCAAGAACAACAACAAAATCAGGAGAAACCCTAAGAACCTCCTCGACGGAACGATTTGAAAGGCGTTGAGGGTTGAGCAGAGCAGAAATTCCAGAATTATGAACGAATCCAAATTAGGTGAAAGATAATTTAGGATGAAAATTTGAAACGTAGAATTTTGTGTAATAGATTTTTATTGAGCTGATTTTCAAAGATTTTTTTAATTTTTAATATCATAGGTCTATTTAAAATTGTTTATTTACAAATTAATTTATTACAAAATTTATCAATTTATACCCTTATTTGTTATTTTCTAAAGAAATAAAATTTGGTAAAAAAAAAAAAAAATTTGTAACCTCACAAACCGATATTATCTTAGCTTTCCCCGAGCTTCTCCTAATAGGGAAAGAGCTTCCCCTCTAGGTTTTAATACAGGGAGAGTCCTTTCCAACCAAGATGTGATCCACGATTTAATACAGGAAGAGGTCGTTCCCCAGTGATCCATTCCACATTTTAATACAAGGAGAGGTTTCTTGTAAGAAATACTTCGTTTCCCTCTCCAACCAAGATGAGAGGTTTCTTGTAAGAAATACTTCGTTCCCCTCCCCTCTCCAACCAAGATGTGATCTCACAATCCATCGACCCCACCTAACTTCTAAGATGTGATCTCACAATCCATCGACCCCACCTAGCTTCCCTTCCAAGTTTTAAATGAGGGAGGTTTTAGTGTACAACTAGAGTGGATTCTACTTGGTCCATTGATTTTTTGTCCTCAGTACATTGTAACAAGTGCAAAGATTTTAGAATCACTATCGTCGGAATCACTGTCCTCTTCCTCTCCAACATCAATGTTATCTTCCTCCTTGATAAGATCATGGATAGAGAACATTGTCAGTTACGACTAGTTCATTGTATTCTTTTCATCCACATTTTTTTTCTATTTGTGATCATATTTTAATCAAACTCAAACTTCTCAAAACCGTCTTGATCGTCACCGCCACCTTCAAACTTGAAACAAAATTGTCGCTTCGTCTTTTCCTCAATACTCATACAAGTATGTGAGTATTGAGTTTAACAAAAAGTCATAGTGCATATTATTATATGGGAGAAAAAGCACACTATGAACATAAACATTAGGCACATACACGGTCTTGGCTCAATAATGATGAATAAGTTAACTTTAGTATTTGTAACCAGCTTCGTAGAGGCTTTGGGAGGCCAACCCGCCGCCGCCACTCCCGCCGCCGTACTTGCCGAGAGTGGCCTCAGAGTTGGCCTTACACCTCTCCAAGAAGGCTGCTTGAGCTTTCGCAACGTTCTCCGTCTTCCCACTCCATATCTTAAGCGTACTTTGCTGTAATGCTCGCCCAAATGAGAAGGAAAGAGTCCATGGCTTCAACACTTCCTGTTTGTTTATGGCATTGAGGTTAAGTGTAGCTTCTTCTTCACTTTGTCCTCCGGACAGGAAGACTATTCCCGGGACGGCGGCTGGGACCGTCCGGCGAAGTGCAGCCACCGTGTACTCCGCTATTACCTCCGGAGCTACCTGTCATCACAACATCATTTTAATCCGACAGTCAAAACAAGGAAATGAACTAAGGTAGAGAATTATCACACCTTTGGGCTACCAACGCCAGGGGTGACCATGTTGGGCTTGAGGAGGGTTCCTTCAAGAAGCACATGGTGGTCACTAAGCGCCTTGTAAACCGCAGCCAGCACAATCTCGGTAGCAGCAGCACATTTGTTGATATCATGAGGGCCATCAGTGAGGATTTCAGGCTCCACAATGGGTACCAACCCATTCTCCTGGCAGATAATGGCATAGCGAGCCAAGCCCTGAGCGTTCTGTTGGATAGACAACTCAGAGGGTTCAGAACCGCCAATCTTAAGAACAGCACGCCATTTGGCAAAGCGAGCACCGGCCTTGTAAAACTGTTGGCAGCGAGCTCCAAGAGAGTCAAACCCTTGTGTTGTGGTCTCGCCATTGGTGCCAGCCAACTCCACGGTGCCCTTGTCCACTTTGATGCCTGGAATCACATTGTTTTCTTGAAGCACTTCCACGAACGGCTTCCCATCTGATGTCGTTTGGTAAAGGGTCTCTTCGAAGAGGATTACACCTGAGAGATAAGAGAGAGCATCGGGAGAGGTAAAGAGAAGCTCACGAAGGGCTTGGCGGTTGGACTCCACGTTCTCAACGCTTATGCTAGCCAGCCGCTTCCCAATTGTGCCGGTGCTCTCATCAGCTGCTAATATGCCCTTCCCTGGGGTCGCAATGAACTTGGCATTCTTAATCAGCTCGTCTGTACAAAGAGAAAATTGCACTACTTTCAGAACACATCACAAAACAAACTGTTATTGGTTAGAGAAAGAGAAAGGGGCGTACCTGCATACTTTCCAACAAAGGCAGACATGGTTAGAGATGGGAAGGTGAAGGGCGAAAGTGCAAAGCAGAAGATTGGAACTATATAGATAAGCTTGGTCATGGAATAGCCTGGCAGAATTGGAGCCCATGCAAATGCAAGGACACGTGTCACAGAGTTAGCCTAAAGGGGGTTATCGAGGTTGGATAAAGGAATGAGTGGTGGCTTTCTAAGCCAAGTGGCAACTCATTCCCTCAATTATCCATCCCCCGATGGACATGAACACAACTCAAAATCCTGTTATTCAAAATCTAAATGCTCCTAACAATCATTCTAAGCATATTATAATTTCTCTCATACATCTAACTGTATAAAACAATCAGCCACGGTGCACCGACCTCGAGAAAGATTCAAAGATTTAAGTGTACAGCTAAACAGAAATCAGCCATATTCGGAATCTGTCTAAATAGAGTTAAGCAAGGCATGCATAGGCAAATCAAAAGTGAACTACACAGCCAAAGAATAAGAATAGTAATAATAATCAATATTAATCATAATAATAAGAATAATAAGAATATGGGGCGTTTGTATCCATATAAGGCACTTATGAGTCATAATTTCTTTCTAAAGACCACGTGAAACGCATCCTATAATCTAAGCACATTATTTTGAGGCAAGAAGATCTCTCTCCACAACCCACGACTGGTTATGATTTTTGTGTTCGTGGGGGTGTTTTATTACTTGAAAGAACAACTACTGTGGAGAGGCCCGCACTTGTTCATCATCGTCGGTTCCAAAATACCGGTCCCCAAACTCACCCATACCAGGCACCACACGGGAATCTTCATTCAGGCCAATCTCAATTTCAGATGTCACAATCTTTATTCTTGGAAAACGTTTACACACCACATGTACGCCTTGAGGTGCCTAAGGTGAGGAAGAAAATACATTTCCATAAGAAAATAGAGGAAACAGGCTCTTCGGTAGAAATGAATTTCACTAACACTTTGTAAACTTACTGATATGAGATTGAGAAATATAATATTAGGCTCTGGAACACCCTTACTTATGAGCAAAGAAATAGCTTGCACCGCCGAGTTTCCTGAAGAAATGTCAAGATTATCAGATCTATGCATGCGCTAGATAATTAAGTATAATTAATTGTGATTAACTACGTAGAAAATTGTCAAATTTTTGTTCCTAGCCCTCACAACCGGCTTATATCATACCACTGATCACATGAGAGTAATCAATGTCCATGACAAGGCTTAAAAATTAGAAATTAAAGAGAGCAGAAGCGGGAAGAATAAATTGTAAAACTTATAAGAGTATGAGCTAATATCACAGAACGGCTAACCTGTGCCCAGGATGGGATCCAAAAGTAATACATGCCTATTGGAGATATCTGAGGGTAGTTTTTCATAAATTAACTGCACAAAGCGTACAACACCAGAACCATGTCAGTTCATGTATGGAAATTGCGCACTTAAATTATTTCTTAGGAACGAAACCAAAGATTACACGAGAACAAAAACATACATGTTGGCCATTGTCACCTTCCCTATGAATGAGAATCTTTCCAATTTTTATGCCTTTACAACATGCTCGCAGAGCATTTTCCATACTCTCACCACTGAAAACAGGGTAATATACTTGACAATGTTACTTATAAGAATCAAGATAAAAACAGAATATCTATAGAAATAACAGATGCCCTTTTGGAGGAATGAAACAAACATTTCGGTAAACACGTAATAGAAGAAAAATGTCAAAGCTGCAAAAAGAATTTGAATGTACGTCTAACCTCCTGATGACAGAGACGCCACATAACCTCTTGCAGAAATCAACGCCACTATACACAGATCCTGTGTACACACCAAAATATTTCAGGTTGTAGAAACAATTAATTTATTCCACAACGTATAATTAAGTGTATAACATCATATCTCAACAAGAGAACAAATCCAAATGAAAACAATTGAGTTACGAAGCATGCTGCATCATCATTGAGCTCAATAAATATCTTGACGAGAGAATCACTACTAAGGGATGGCTAATTGCAAGTTAATCTATTATGATTTCTGGGTCAAGCAAGCAAAGACTTATATGGACGGATGACTTGTCAAATTCTTGTAACAAAATATAATTTGTAGGTTCCAACCCAAATGCCAACGTTCATGCAGAGAAGAAAAACATGACAGTGTACACCTAGAACTTAAGAATGAAGCTTTAGAAATAATTTTTTTTTTTAATTACAAGTTTAGTCCTGAACTCTTAGATTTGTGTCTATTTGGTCTCTAAATTTTTTGTTTTGTGTCAATAAGAGCCTAAACTTTGAAAAGTACTATTCAACATATTTTTTAATTCTCGTACCTACAGCCTACTAGACTTGAAATTGAAATTTTAGGATCCACTAGACACAAAATTCAATTTTATATCAAATAGTTCAAATTATCAATTAATATTTTAAAGAAATTGAATATGTCGTCGAGCTGCTTCGCCCCCTATCTCTAAAGTTCGTAGACAAGGCAAAAATCTATTAGATACAAAATTGAAAGTTTAGGAACCTATAAGACAAAATTAAAATTTGAGGAGTAATTCGACATAAAGTTAAAAGTTTGAAGACCTATTAGACACTTTTAAAAGTTTAGGGACTAAATAAACACAAAAAACCTGATAGTTCAACTAAATATATAATTTAATGTTTTTTTTTACTAAAAAGAACTTTTTTTCATTGAACAAAAATGTCTTTGGTAACAACAGCATAGATGCCAGAGAGCATAATGTAAATCATTCAGAATAAGGCATCAAAATTTGGCAAAAAAAAAAAAAAAAAAAAAA